ACACTATGACACTATAATCAAGGATATTTCCTCAGACTTGTCAAAGCAGAAAGACTCAGTTGTTTTAATGTGTTTAGCAGTATTAACAACAAAAAGTAAATGTATATTCACAGGTAAAAACTGACATACTTGCCCTTGGGTGACATGTTAAAAAACATGCTGCACTCTCAGCTCAAACCTGCACATCTTGTGAGCTCAGATAAACATCAAGTTACTCATTAACGTTTTATCAGATCCCTGAATCAACACATGAAAGCTATACCCCCAGCAGCCTGCGCCCGCCTTAAATTACCAGCAATGTGATCCATTTGGTTCGTTTGCATAGGCCTCCTCCTGCACTCCATCCTGCTCTGTGGTCCGCTTATCCCAGACTTGATTACGACATCCCAAAACAGCATGCAGCTTTACAGCATTCAGCTCTGCGTCACCTCCTGAGGCCCTCGTGTCCCCAATTGGGGTTCTCGTCACTCGTCAGAACTCCTGATCCTGTGATCAAACTTTGTCCACCACGATTCAGCCGGCTACTTTTATACTGCACTAGGTCAAGCCAAAAACCTTCTCCTACCCACACAGAAAAAAGAAATAATCTGCAGTGTCAGGTTGAGCAGACATACTCCTGTATAGATACTTTACACATCATCATCATCAGGAAACATTTAGCAAAAAAGGAATCATCCAATTCATAGTTTCCCTTGGCTCATCTTCACCTCTTCTAATTTTTCACCAGCTTGCTCTCACTAGTAACGTGGGACCACTGTCTCATATATGCTAAGCTGCTGCTGCCATGGTAACCTCAGTACAGGATTTAGACCCAGTTCAGGACTGGAGGGGCACTGAGAAAGGGGCAGGTGGAAGAGCTGAGCGGCCTTAACTGTAATCCCCAACACCATGAGCAAAAAATAGAAAAACTAAGCTAGACAGCACATCTGCAAAAACACAGACAGATGCACACGACACGCCACTAATCCAGCAGCGAGAATAGCCCACATTAGCAGTAACGTTGGCGAGATAGACAGAGGCCTCTGTCTACCTGCTTAGACGAACAGCATAAAGGTGTAGTTCAGAGAAGGCTGCAGAAAATCTGTCTTTGTCAATCAAATGCGAGTGGTGACTAACAGAAATAGTAAGGAAATAACAGCTAAATGAGTCATTCCCTTCATTATGCAATCTCACATTGTATAATGTGTCAAAGGAGATCCCCGGAACGTGTCGGAGATTACTTATACCTCAGTGGTAGAGAGCGTAACAACCGGAATGTTCCAGGAGCACCCGCTGGCTCATGATAGAGCTCGCTATGCACAGGGAGGCATGCCTTGGAACAGCTACAGCAGTGTTTGTCCTAAAACATCCCTGTGAAGCATGCGTGTTTACTGGATGAAAGTCCATATGCGTTTTTGTGAATGTGCATGCTTGAGGGGAGGGTGTGTGTGACGACAGTCCGTGTGGGTGTGGGTGCACAGCTGTAGAGATGACGTAACTAGCTGAAAGCTGATCCACTCAGCCTATCGATGGGGACACTGGTTTTTGGAGCTGGGATCTGGGAGTCTGAATGAGGGGTTTCCAGCAGTGATGGCTACTGCACAGTTGCTATGGGGCTTTACGGTTTCTGTGTGTGTGTGTCTGTGTGTGTGTGCTGGAGTGTGAGGGGGGGGGCTGTACAAACTCAACCTATCAGCAAAGCTACAGCACTCAGGCACGTTTACCAATGCCTCCCCCTCCTCCTCTGCATGCGCATACCCTGGTGTCATTTCTCCTTCAGGCACAGAGGAAGCCAAGTAACTCCCCCCTTGTGTCATAGCGTGAACACACACACACTCTTACGAGCACAAACCAGATTCTCCAACTATCAGCTGAAAAACTGAACTGCCTGCCAGTGCATTTGCCTCACATGAAGTGAGAGTAATGGTACAGAAGACGAGACACACGCATGCACAGAGAGAAGAAGATGGGCTCACTTACTGTAAGTAAGCAAGCACACACACACCCCTTCCCATCCTCCGACCTCACCCCCAAAACACACACACATGCTCACAAACTCTCCATACCTGTTTTCTGAGTATAAACAAACTAACATGCTATTCAAAGCCCTAAGGTGTGGTCCTTCTCTTCCACACACTCTCCACTCTGATGGAGAACGTCGGGGGCAGTGTGTTCCTGGGGGTGTGTGCCAGCCTCATGCAGCTCGCTTACCTGTCCAAGATGTCATGGCTGGATGTGGCTGTGGCTCCCAGCAAACCCAGTGCTGCACTCCCCACCGCTGCGGCAGCCCCGCTGCCTGCCTCCATGATACTGACTCACTGCAATGAGAAGCCTGCCAGAGAAGCGGAGAGGGAGGGGGAGAGAGGGAGGGGGCGGGAGGGAAGGGGGAGGATGTGAAGAGGTAGAGCAAGAGGGAGAAAGAGGAACGAGATAAAAAGAAATCACATGTAGGAACTCGACAGAGGGGGGGGGGAAAGCAGAGGGATGGAGAGGAATGTGGGGAATAAGAAAAGAGACAAGACTGAGAACATGATGTGGTGTAAAAGGTACACAGGAAAAGATGTGCGAAGACAGGGCGGGGTGGGGGGGTGGGTGAGATTGGGGTGGTAGAAAAAAAACAAAAACAAATTAACTTTAGTCAGCAGACCAGATAAGTCATGACTTTTGCACGACAGGATTTTTTTCTTTGGTCCCAACACATGGCACACGCTGTCCAATGTGAACCAAAAGTCAAACAACATCATCAGCTCCATCGGCTTTCCCGCTGCGGTAGCTGTGCTGTCTGAAGTCTCCATCCTCAAACAGTCTTTTTACAGTCCTCGCATCTTTTGGTCAGCCATTCTTTTTCACATCTCCACAAGTAGGTCTGATTTCAAGGGAAAGTTCCAAAAACATTCCAGAAAGTCCTAAAAGGTTATAGCAAACGAATGTGTTCTCCACCCTCATCAACGTCAGCCACAAACTACAAGCAGAATGCTAGCATAGGATGTTCAGCAATGCAAATCTCACGCCAAAAGTTACTACGCTTACCAAAAAGCTCAACACCGGCCTCTGACTGGTCGAGTTGGTTGTGCAGCAGCATTTCAACTTATCCATCATGCGCAGCGATTTCTCATGTTAGTCTGGTAAAAAACTGTTTGTTTGCTTTACAGTCTACTGCAGACTGTGGCAGTTACTCTTTGGTAAACAACATATCTGTTAAATGAAGGAGTGAGACAAAGTAAACACATGCAAAGAAGTTGGTGGTTCGATCCCTGGCTTCACCAGTCTGCATGCCAAATATCTTTGGGCAAGATATTAACCCCAAGCTGCTCTCAGATGCATCGGAGTACGAATGTGTATGAATGGCAGTTAGTAAGCACTGAAATTATAGAAGACTGTGCTTGTGCGAATGGGTGTGAATGTGGCATGTTGTATAGAGCGCTTTGAGTACTCCGAAGAGTAGAAAAGCGCTATATAAGAATCATGTAATTTACTACTTACCAGAAATTATTTTCTGTGTTGAAAAATGACTACTTCCTAATATCTTCAAGTGCTTATTCTATCAAGGCAACAGTTCGACAAAGATTTAATTTACAGTAATGTAACATATCACGAGAAGATGCAAACCCTGATATATCAAAGGCGCAAACAAGGAAATGTGAGGCTTACAAACTGACACCATCGATGCATCCATCACTTATAACAACTAAACAACCTGTACGTATAGCTATAGTTACCGTTCACTACTGCTCTTAAGATCCACCTGCAGCCTTTGAATGTTTTTAAACCGAGAATCTTTAAATGTGTGTTCGCTTTGTTCTTTGTTTATTAAAATCACACCTTATATCATCTTGCTCCATTTAGCGGATGCAGGTTATTATGTGTTCAAGCAGAAACATGTAGGAGTTGAAAGTCCTTTGAAGTTATTACACATCAGACTTATAACCTGAACCAAAACTATGTTTTTCCTTCAAATGAATGAACTGCAAAATGCTTTAAATTATTTTGTCATCATGTGACTATGGAATAAAGTTACTACCTGAGGGGTCTCTGCACGTCATAGAAACAGCTAGCACTCCTTCCTGTGTTCAGTGCCAAGCACACATAGTGGGAGCATTGTACAGTGATTAAGGTGACTTTAGGGAATATTAACAGCGCTCATCACCCACCCACTGAATCATCACCGTGACTATAATCACAGGAGAGAACATCTTCGCATCTCTGGTATTATCTCTGTAATACCACCCACCACAAAACCTCCCAGGGAAATCTTAACATGTCAGTGCAACAAAATAGATCACAGTGACACAACAGGAATGACCAAGAACTTTACATCCCCTGGGAGCCAAAGAGCCAGATTTCTGTGGCAGTCAATGGCTACGCTCTGTAATCCCAAGAGGATGGTGCCAAGAGTGGGGCGCGAGAGGAGAAAGCGTAGGAGGAAAAGGATCTTCACAAGCCACACTGAAGCAGCTGGTTCTACATCCGAGGCAGACTTGCCGGGCATACGTAATCCTCCGGCCTCTCTGGTGCACACAGAGTGTAGCTCAGGCAAAAAAGGCACCATGTTTAAAAGGCACATGTCATCTATTAACATGGATAGTAATTTAATGCCAGTATTAGAGACTCCAAATATTTGCCTCACCTTCTTTTGAGACATTTAAGTGACTCAGAGATCTTTGTCCTGAAAATAACAAGCATGCACTTGAATCCAGAGTGATTAAGCTTCTTCCAAACCAATCGAAAAGCGACGCACTCTTTTGACCTGTGACCGTCTTTGATATAAGCAGTAAGTCTGAATGGAAAGATGATAAATTTTTCTGTATGCTGCACAGTGCAGTTCACCTTTTTTAACCACCACATTATTGACCTGCAGCACGTGGCTGTATTGACTGCTATGCACAAGCGGACTGGCCTGGCACAACCCGGGCAAGTTGTTGACATGGACATGGGCTTCATGTTGGAAACACAGCTTGCCCTGAGCTACTGTTAACTCACACACAAAGGCAGCTCATCCCATTTGACATTAACTAGATGTTTTTTGTGTGACTTCATCCGCCTGTTTATGCTGTGGGTATGGAAACACATATCCCTTTAGGTACCGTGTGCAGACGGAATGAAGTGTGTGCATTTGTTAACAGAAAGCGAGTTTGTGTATACCAAGCAGGCAGCCAGGCACAGCAAAGCAGGGTGAGCTTCCCACGAACACCTGATGCAGCAGAAAAAGCCACAACATGGCTGACCTTGAGAGAGGACAGAGCCTCAGCTCATCTCACAGGAGATTAAAAATCAAGATTCAATAGTCTCTACACAATAAACATCCTCACTCTAATCTGAATGGCAAAAACAGGAAATCTTGAGCTTACTAGAGCCCAACTGGGAGTGGTTAGCAATCTCACCTCACAGCAAAAAGGCTCTAGGTTCAGACCTCCGGGGGGTGTTCTACGAAGGAAGGTCAACATAGTTTTGTTTGCCTTTGCTGGCTCACTCTCCGCGTTGCTGTTTATTTCCACTGTGATGACTGAACATTAAAGCTCTGACATTTTAAACTGATTGAAGAAGTATTCTTGGTTTTTGTTGTAGTAGCTGCATTTCTGGACTTGGCAGATTATAATAAAGAATACCAACATTTACACATTCGCTGCACCAAATGAATACATGCTCGTTGCTGTGAAAATGTGACCCGCTGTTTCAGTGGTTTTACTTAGGTACGGCTTAACAACTTGCACATTTAAAGTGAGAATATACAATGTACCTAAAACATACTGTAAATTAAAGGCTCTGTGAAAAGTTGGCACTTCCAGCTGATGTTAAACCAAAACTCAGAATATAAGATGCTCCAGAACAGGTTAGGTGTTTAGTTCAAGTTACCACAGTGACTTAGCCATTCAGACTTTATGCTTGGCTCGCTCAGCCGTTTATTTCTGTAGCAGACCCTTCTGGTATGTGGTTGTCTCTCTCTGGTGGCCCTGTGTACCCCAACTTTTACATTCTGACACTGGGATAAGCTAGCCCCCTGAGCCTACAATGCATTAACGGATCATCAGGACAACTAATTTCTTAGTCGACTAAACAAGGAAAAAGAATTAGACTAACCGACTAGTCTAAAACTAAAAAACACCCTCATATATCAAGTTAAAGTAGTGAAAAAAACTAATAAAAAGGGCATTCCAAACCATTAGTCACCATTAACTGTGCAACAGCTTGCATCATGCATTATCAACATTACACATTATACTCCAGACGACGAAAAAGAAAGACACTTAAAATAAACCAATGGAAAGAATATGATATTAAAAAACATGATACTACAAAAGATGTTCACGTATTACTCAAACACGACAAATTAACAGTAGAAAAACTGATAAACCTAAGTTTATTACCCCGAGGTCGTATTAAACGGCTACCACATCTGGAACCTACTAGTAACAATGGTGATGATTAGTCAACTAGTCGAGCATGTTCCTTTACTTAGAATAAGTCAATGTTCTAATATTTTCCGGTCCACGTACATGTCTTCTTTCATGTTTAATCAAACAAACAAACATAAAAAAAATAGATATGAAGATGTAATTATTGTCTCAATGCAAATGCAACCATCCATGCTCCCAAATGTATCAGCTAGGGGACGCACCAGGTCCAAAAACTGGAACATGGAAAACTGGAAAAATTCAGACAATGTGACGGTTAAGATCTTAAGTTTACTTGTAGTTTTTCTTTAAAAATAAAAATCGAATTCAATTACATTTCAGTTTAAGAAACGAGTGTGAAAATGTTAATTCCCATAAAGATTTTACCTTTTTATCTTTTGCCTCTGTCACTTTCGGTTCAATGTCACGAAGCAGAGCGTCTCCGGAGTGCGGTAGTGAGTCATAAATATAAACAGGTCACTCAACATTAAATCAATATCAGCAAGGCGAAGTTCACTCATCCCTCCTTCACTTTAAGCCACAGCAGCTACAATTTAAAGAGACACAGACTTGATGCTCGTCTGCAACATGAGCTTCTCTCATTTACCTTTTCTCTGTTACAGCTCAACAGTAATTCTAGCGCTTCAGATTTGTACGGTAACGACTTCAGCATTAAAAAATAAATAAATCTGAGATTATGAGATTAAAACAAAGCAGAAATTGTATGTCTATAAACAGAGCTGCATTGAGTACTGGACATTAATTACTGAAATGATAGCAGCATTGAAAAGAAAAATGCTGTCATGGAAGGAGAGTTCTACTTTGAACAGTCTGCATTTAACTTTGTTTTCTGTTTAATGCTTTCACTCTATTTTTTAAATCTGTTTCCATTTTTTTAAACTTCCTCCTACTTTGCTGTTCACAGTACGTTCTTCTTCGTTAGTACTGAGAGCAGTCTTAGCAGATGATTTAGGCATTAGTGCCCCCATCGCTTGCTGTAGTGTATTAAAATAACACATTTACACATTTAGAATATGACACGTCAATAAAATTCTGCATCGACGATTATGTCGGCGAATTGTTGCAGCCTTGCATACACGTCTGATGCAACTTGCCATCTAAACTAGCT